CAAAATAAACTGGGTCTACTTTCGATTGAAAACATGGTTCAAATTCCCATTAATTTCAAATTAGTGATTTATAAAACGTTTTACATTTACAAAACGAAATTCATAGAACATTTGTTGTACATATCGTCTGAAGTGATTATCAGCTAAACATGCATTATACGAATAAGAATTAATAATCAATAATAATGTCAAAAGACTTTTTTAAAAAGCTACATATTGCTGATTTTTTTCCAACTCTTTTGGGGAAGGCAAAACATCAAAATGGAATGAATTCTCGAATTTGATCGATAAGTAAAATTTTATGTTGAACTTTTTCAAGTAAGTTATATGATTAATACTGTTTTTTTTCCTGTGATGCAATGCAATGCACTGCATTGCAAAGTCAGATAACGTGGCCAACCAAGATAAACTTAGTCAATTTTTGTTTTACATGATCGAATTGAAATAAAGTTCAAATTAACACTTTTTCTACATCACATTTTAAAAAATTGTTTAAAAAAACGGATGGAATGGAATTATTTTTGTTTATGTATCTTAATATGATGGTCCTCTTTATAAATCCGGAATCAGCAATCAATCAAAATGTCAAAAGACTTTACGACGAATTTACAAATTGCTGATTTTTTGTTGAATAACCAAGTTTGGGTACATGTGACTTGTATTCATTTGTTCGTCGGACGTGTCAAAGCAATGATTAGAATTGTGGAGCATTTAAATGCCCTATAAGGTCCTATTTAGTAGCGCATGTTTAGTGAGATAAATTCACATTAACAAGAGAGTTTACCCCTAGTCACTCTGAATTTAACAATTGCTAGTCTATGAACGACTCTAAAACCTTATATAGTATATAATCTGCTGTTGTTTAACATTGACTTAAAATTTGCATAATATAAAGCAGAAAACAATGATCGTTATGTCTACGTTGATCAAAGGGACATCATTTGAGTTATCGAACGTTACCTTATGCAAATTTCAGAAAATACAACCAATCACAAGCAGGAATTGTATAAAGGAGACGTTTTTGGAGGGTTGATGGTGGGGGATGTTTAATTCTATCAACAAGTAAAATACTACTGAGTGTCTTCTGTACTCTACTGCACAGTGTTCCAGTGAAAATGCAATACAATATAATGCCTGGCAATTTGGCTAATCAAAATAAACTTGGTCTAATTTTGATTAAAAAACACAAATTCCAACTATTTTTAAATTCAACGATTTATTTAAAAAAAAAAAAGTTTTACATGATTTACAAAACGAAATTCATGGAACATTTGTTGTACTCATCCTCTAAAATTATTTTCCACTAACCATGCATTAATGATATGAATCAGAATTAATTATCACTATTAATGTCAATAGATACATACATGTATTGCTGATTTTTAACGACTATTTTAGTGTATGCAAACATCAAAATGGAATAAATTCTCGAATTTGATCGATAAGTAAAATTTTATACATTTAATTTTTACAAGTAAATTATATAATTAATATTGGGTTTTTTTCCCTGTCTTGCAATGCAATGCGCTGTATCGCAAGGTCCGATAACGTGGCCAACCAAAATAAACTTAGTCAATTTTTTTTTCACATGATCTAATTGAAAATAAAGTTCAAATTAATCTCTTTTTCTACTTCACATATTTAAAAATTGTTTTGAAAAAAAGCGGACGAGATGGAATTATATATTTGTCTATGTATTTTGATGGGATGGTTCTCTTTAAAAATCCCGAATCAGCAATCATTCAAAATGTCAAAAGACTTAACGACGAATTTACAAAATTGCTTTTTTTTCTTTTTTCTTTTTTGAATGACTCTAAGTTTGGGTACATGTGAAGTGTATTCATTTGTTCATCGGACGTGTCAAAGCATGCAATGATTAGCTATAGCATTGTGGAGCATTTAAATGCCCTATAAAGTCCTATTTAGTAGTTCATGTTTAGTGAGATAAATTTCTTATTTCTTTGCAAAGTTAAATCTAATAGATATTCTGACGAAGATGTGCCTGTCATTGGACGTTTTATACATATATAATATTTGCTAAGCCTCAGTTTCAGTCACCCATCTCCCATAATATCAGCGTCCTCAAATGATGAGTAACTCCCTGGTGAAACATAAATAATATCAATGAAGATATCAAACCGAATTTTCTCAGGCTGCCTAGACGATCCTAAAACAGCGGGGTTGAATACTTTTAAAATGTGGGGGATTTGCCTTTGGAATGGGAGCTTAAATCACTTAAGGGGTATTTGACAGACATTTGATTGAAACAAAGGATTATGTTTTAATGCTAATAATGAAAGATTTTGGGCATTATAGTTTTCCCATGCCCGTCCGTCTGTCTGTCTAGCTGTCTGTTTGTCCGCAAAAACTTTAACCTTGCCAATAACTTTTGATTGGTTGAAGTTATTACTTTGATATTCCACATATGTATTCCTTGTGACAAAGTCTTTCTTTGGGTACCAACATATTTAACCTCTTAACTTTGAAGTTTGACCCACTTTTTGCAAAAAAATGATCCGTGTTAAGCTTGGTCATGACTTTTGAACAATTGGTGATAGGGCTTTTATTTTTCACATGCGTAACTCATAAGTCTGGTGTCAAGACCTTTACTTGAGTATAAATATTTTTTTTTTACCTTTTGACCTTGGTTTTGGAGATTGACCCACTTTTGAAAACTTTAACCTTGTCCATAACTTTTGAACACTAAGTACTGTGGCTTTTATATTACACAGGTGTACATGTATTCTTTTGAGAAACTTAAACGTTTGCCCTATAATTTGCCATGTGAGGGCATCAGTGTTTTACAAGCACATCTTGTTTAATCTTTTAATTAATCTAAGTGAATTTGGTAAGTAGACAGAATAACAAATCAAGTATAGTTTCTAAACACAATTGCATTTATTAAAGTTTGTATGAAATACCCTTATCAAACTGAAGCAAACAAGCATAAAATTCGACTATTGCCTAAATAGAAATACTTCCGCCCGGTGCAATTTATTAGAAGGTTTAATTTGTTAAAAGTATGAAAGGGGTATGTACAAAAAGCAAATTCAACGTAACATATTTTCCGGAGATAAATTAAAAGTTTAATTCTGTCTTGGTGTAGTAAGATTATATCAAATTAAGCCTAGTTTTCCACGTGATAAAATTTAATTTTATACAACACATGTACGTAATGTATATGCATTTTCATACAAATTAAATGTTCGCCACATTATTAATATTATCTACTCTCACTGACCAAACCTACACTGTACTGTCTTTTTTTCCCTTGTCACCATTACGGGTTAGTACTCTCATGGTAATTAATAAATTGTGCTAAAACAATTGACATTTTTTCACTGCCCTTGAAGTTTTGACTCGGGAACGGGTCTCACCGCGGGTCTCTTCTTTTGCAGACAGGTAGAGTATGAAAACAGAAAAGCTCCACACTGCAAGCACTAATAATTAACACACAAAAATTTTGTTATTTGGGTTTGTTTTTTTTTGGGGGGGGGGGGTGTTGTTGTTGTTGGTGTTGTTTTTGTTTGTTTGTTTTTGGGAGGGGGGGTGTTTTTGTTTTTGTTTTTATTTGCATATTTTGCATGTTTTGCACGTTTCTTCATATATTTCACAGCAATATTTTGAAAAAAAAAAAAAAAAAAAAAGATGTTTAATGCATGTATGTTTGTTATTTATCGTTAATTTTGTATAAAAATGTTCGTTTAAAGGTTATTTGCCCCCCCCCCCTTTTTGTGGCATCAAATCAAATTCCCCCATTGTATAATCTATATATTTTTTAATTCACCGAAAAGTTGGGATTTTCGTGTTTGGGATTTTTTTTTATGCATAATATATTTTATAAAAAATTAGTGTGAATTGTTATATTGATAAATTTGAGTATAACGTACACAATAATGTATTTGTGTAATAGATGACAATTTTGTGAGATCCAAATTCCTATTTGGGATCGGTTATGTGATTTCTCTTCAAATTATCAAAGCATCTAAACTTTCTTAAAGCCGATCAATAAATTATTTCATTCTTCAATTTATCAAACATTAAATTTTTAACAAAGGCATGGTACTTGAACTGCTCGCCGAATTTTTCCCTCATTTCACCATCAGATAAAAATTGTAAATGAAAAATTTCAAAGGTTCTTAATTGTTTGAAAATCAGGTTATTTTAATTAAAAAATAATTGAGGCTACATGTACAAGACCATATGAATGAAAATATATAGCTTCCTGATTTTTGACCCCCATCTTCAAACATTAACTTTAAATTGCCCTCTACAAATAAATAAATAATTAACAAAAATTTAAAAAAAAAAAAAAAAGACAAATGAACAGCGAACGCAAGCTCGATTATCTGAGATGCCTCCGCACTTAGACCATCTGCGATATTTTGTTTAAAAGGGGGGGGGGGCAACGTTACACCCAAAATTCAAAATTATTGTAATAGTAGTGCTAAGCAAAATAAAAAAAAGTATACGCAGCCAGTATTTATAATATTGATTATAAAATTATAAAAGCATAGCACTCACTGGAGTAAACATTATCTGTTCAGGCTGGAATAAAAATCGGGATCGGGATACAGAAATCCTCTGAACTTCCTTTTCCTATCGGTAGCCATTAATAGTGAGTTTCACGTTGTATATGGAAATAAATCCACACTTATCTCAATAAATATTTGTCATCTCTGGTGTTTATTCATTTTATGACATTAAATACTCATTGTACCAACATTTTAATAAGTAATGGCATAGGTATATGACGCCATATACATGTAACTATAGGTAAAAGTTTAGTCAACATTGGAGGAAAATGTCAATTGATCTGCAAGGATTGTTTAGTGAGATGCGTCGATAGGGTGTTTCATTTAGGAATTTCCAAGTTCTTCAAACATTAGTTCAATTAACTCTCATAATTTTGTAACTGACACACTTCACTGAGTCATTAAAGGACTACATCTCGACACTCTATTTTTTTGAGGGGCTTATTTTTGAATGCCACACGTTCCAAGTTATTAGTTTCATGTCATTATTTGCAGAAAAATGGGCCGAGTGATCAGGTCTCAAAGAAAGGGTCCTGGAAGCGTTTTCAAGGCCCGCACAAGATGTAGAAAGGGTAAAGCAGCCCTGAGAGCTGTCGACTATGCTGAAAGACATGGATACATTAAAGGAGTGGTGAAGGTAATGTTCTGTGAACCAATGTGATGTGGACTCTGTGAATCAATCTGTGTTGTCAATGTGTATCATTTGTGTGTTGCTTCATGTTTAAAAACACTGTAAAATGGCAGAATTATGGAATGTTAATTAAAAATGAGCTTGAGGAATAAATACAATTTTCTTACTGTTTAACACAATGTAAAAATGCAGTTTCACTTCATAGTAATAGAAAGAAAATATGAAATTGAGAGTACTAATTTGTAAAAATGTACATTCACTATTTTATATAATTTTGGAGAAATGAACTGATGAGAAAATCAAATTTCATTTTGCAATTTGTATTGTTTTTTCCTGCATGTATAGGACATCGTTCATGACCCAGGACGTGGTGCACCTTTAGCCAAGGTGGTGTTCCGTGACCCATACAAGTACCGTCTCCGCACAGAAACCTTCATTGCCTCTGAAGGAATGTACACTGGACAGTTTCTTTACTGTGGAAAGAAAGGTTAGTAATTACAATTATAATAGTCAATTGAAGAAGGCATTTTTCCCTCCACCAGTGGGGAATATAGTACTGGTACCCTTTCAGTTGAGAAAAGAACTTATTTGGAATTTTCAGTCATATGTCCTCTGTTCTTAAAGTAACAACTATTTATGCATGTTTTGAAGAAATACAACAAGAATTCATTGTTCCATAAAATTATATCTCTTGTTCTTTTGTATTTAATTAAAGACATCAGTAATGTCAGACACTTGTTTATGTCGAGCAATCTTTCTCCTTCCCCCCCCCCCCCCCCTTTTCACATGAAAAAGGTAGTCAAATATAATATCTTAGTAGGGCTGAAACGATTCACCGAAATATCCATATTGTTCAATATTACTGCTTGGTTCAGTGTTCTATTCACAATCTCGATTTTCGGTTCGGTACATTTTTTTATAATCGGGTTTGGTTACTCCTTGAAATAGATCGGATTCGACCTCATTTTAATAGTTTGACACACACGTGGGAGAAAATTGCAACGGAGAAAGTTTCAGAGCAGGCTGCCACTGCTAGTATTGACACGAACAAAGTGCTCTTTTAATCTACAGAAGCACAAGTAGTGCTCTCTATTGTTTCACCACCTTTTACTTGCCTTTTGAAATCTGAATACATGTTTTCTTTAACTTTATGATTTTTTTCTTTTTTAAAATGTATCGTATTGGAAAAATTGAATTGTGACACAAATATCGCAATGCGTACCGTATCTTGGAGGGGGCGTATAGTTTCAGCCCTATATCTTAGATAATTTCCTGGTTTGGTAATCTTTGGATAGTTGGGACAGATATCATTGGTAACTCATTGTGAATTTTAGACAATTCAGAGGAATCCATCTTCAAATTATGCTCATCTCTTTTTCTGTGTATGGATGTTTCAGATAGCAAGTGTCAGATAGGATTTACAGAAGACAAGAGATTCAATTTTTTGGTTGAATCATGTATATTTTATCCTAATACATTGATAAATTAGAGCCATAACTGAAATTTAGAAAAAAAAAAACATAGACATGTTAAGTCAGGTTTCATTCTTATTTTAGTTTTTAGAAAACGTAGACATAGCTCGATCAGGTTTCACTGTAGAGTAAAACTTATAAGTTAATACGAGTGACTTCCATGAATGTGGAGAAAGCTATGGTTTTGGCTTCATTAGTGGGTGAAATGGAATGATGATTTAAAATTTTCTTCACTTTGAACTGATGATCATTGATGTGAAGTAAAATTGTCTGACCTTTGATGGTTTTTATAAAACCTTATGAATTTTAGATGTCACTGAAATCAAAAATCATTTCACACTTTTCTTTCAAAGAATTTTTTTTTTTTTTGATATCTGAGTGACAAGGTACAATATTTTAAATACTAATATTTTCTGAATTTTTTACAGCCAATCTTCAGATTGGAAACATTTTGCCAGTCGGATCAATGCCTGAGGGTACCATTGTGTGCTGCTTGGAGGAGAAGATGGGTGACCGAGGCAAGATTGCCAGGGCTTCAGGGGACTACGCGACAATTATCGCCCACAATCCTGAAACCAAAAAATCGAGAGTCAAGTTGCCATCTGGCTCCAAGAAGCTTATCCCCTCTGCAAACAGAGCTATGGTTGGTTAGTGTTTACCAAAATGGACCAGTGTTATTTATCAATTCATCAAATGAAACTTTCTTGTATTTTTTGGTGTAAAACATCCACATTTGAAATTAATAAAATATATCTTAATGTATTAACTGATAGAACCAATACAGTGTACATGAATATTGTAGTTTAAACAGTAACTTCTAGAGATGAGACCCAAGTCCCCCCTTCAGGCAATAGAATAATTTTATTAAGATTTTCCCCCTTATATTCTCTGTAAAAAAATATAGGTGAGAGAAATTTTCTTGGGTACCTGTCTCAGTCATTTCTTAGTGTTGTAGAGTCTGCATTGATTAGTGTTATTTATATCTGATCTCTAGGTATGAATAACAGGTTAAAGAAATGCTTACTGGAGACCCTTTTAAAGTGAATTTCAAAATTAACATTCTTGTGTGATCACAGGGATGCATCATAATTTCTTTTATTTGTGTCCAATAAGCTGATTTTAATCCTCTAAATATAAAACTTCCATGTAACCATTTAGCCTTCACCTGAACATTACTAATCATTAAAAAAAACTGAGGTTCCAGAAGCTTTATATATATATATATACAGTATAATAAAATTTGCTACTTTGTTTGGTGTATAGGTATTGTAGCTGGAGGTGGACGTATTGACAAGCCTATGCTCAAAGCAGGTAGAGCTTACTTTAAATACAAGGCCAAGAGGAACTGCTGGCCTAAAGTCAGAGGAGTGGCCATGAACGTAAGTAATCATTCTAAATTCTTGACATGAAATGGCCATTTTTCCTCCTGTGCAGGGATAGACATTATCAGTTGTCAGATAACCAGGATGGAGTAAAATCTCGATTTTGGCAAGTTAAACTGTCAGTTAACTTTCCAATTGGGCCAGTAAATGTTTCTGATAGAAAATTATTTTAATCATACAGTAGTTTGTAAGAAGTTTAATAATAAAACACTATTTTCATCAAGAATTCAACATTGTTTTTGCTTTCTCAGTCCCTTGCTAACATTTTTTGAAAAATTTAGAATAAACCAGTGAACCCCACATAAAATAAACCAAAAATTTAATCTCATTGTCTAGAGCTATTTATTTAATAATTTGTAATAAGCAAAATTAAAATGTTAATCATTTTTAGTGTCCAATTCCTATTTCTTGAGCCTTAAAACTTCAAATTATTAATTGAGTTAATTTCTTAGAAATTTTAGGCAACCATATTTTAATAGACAAGTAAAATTTCATGGCAAATGCATTTGAAACTTAATATCCATCCTTGCTGTGTGGAATATCTGCTGTATTTCAGGAATAATTATTTTTGTTCTGTTGGTTTAGCCAAATTGAATTTTTCAAATTTTCTGCAAATTGTTAATTTTCCAGCAAGAATTTACCACAAAATTGAAATCATGTTGATCCTGTCTGTATTAATATCCCTCTTAAATCCCCACCCCCTGCCTTTTCAAGTTGCTTTAATCCACATTTTTTGAGGATAAGCAAGTTTATGGACAGTGGTCTTAGCAATAAATATTTTGGTCGCATTATTTCAGTCAATCACTCTCAGTCTTATTTAGGATAGGAATAGCTGATTTTAATCTGATCGTATTGAATTTGATCTCTCTGTTTATGTGTGATTCCAGCCTGTTGAGCATCCCCACGGAGGAGGTAACCACCAACATATTGGTAAGGCATCCACAGTCAGAAGAGACACACCTGCTGGTAGAAAGGTAGGTCAATGTCACCAAGTCCACCTCACTGTTTTAGTCTTAGCTATTTGCTCTAAACAAAAGAATGTATTTTTTTGTAATGAAGCAATGGTAAAATATTTACTTGCTACTTTATATTGTCAGTATATTCACAGAATCTGGAACAACGATCTAAGGAAAACAATTATAAAATTATAATTTAATTAATAGTTTGGAACGCAAGATGTGAATTACTATGGAGGTGCTTTGCTTTACAGGTTGGTCTTATTGCTGCCAGACGTACTGGTCGACTACGTGGTACAAAACAACAGAAGCCCGCAGAGAAAGAGTGATAGACTGTTGTTGTTGTATAAAGATATTAAAAAAAAAAAGATGCAACTGTCCTCTTGTGTGTTGCATAGGTGCTATATAATATCACCCTTTCCTAATATCTGATATATGGTGTCCTGGACTTTTATAGCAGAATTTTGCAAAGTTGAGATAATTTAATCAAATCTCAAAACAAAGAACATGGGCTTCTGCAGGAATTGTGTATGAAACATTTATAAATGTCCACAATTTGGTCGACGGACCACAGCTGGACAGACTTGATGCACAGAAAATGTTAATTTACTTTGAAATACCTTTTCGAATTGTAAAATATTTAAGTCCGCATATGTTAATAGTTAGGATAACATAGTAACACTTCACATAAATAAGATGATAGGGTATTGTAAAATGCAATTATATTGAGGTTTCAGTGGGAAGAATTGCTTTCCATTTTGCAATTGAACCAAAATTTATCTGTTTTAAAATTCAATTAAATTGGTAAAAATTAAACTGACATACGACTTTAAAACTAAATAAACGCTCCTTGCGAGGATCGAACCAAAACTGGGATTCCTGAATGCTCTAGACTGGTAAATCCTACTACTGAGCTATCATAGCTACTTAAACGATGGATTTTAAAATGATAATGAAGCAATGCATTTACACAGTGGTATTTGTTGGTGGTTTCATTTTTAGCTCACCTGAGCCGAAGGTTCAAGTGAGCTTTCTGATCACATTTTGTCCGGCGTCCGTCTGTCTGTCCGTCCGTCTGTCTGTCTGTAAACTTTTCACATTTTTGACTTCTTCTCAAGAACCACTGGGCCAAATTCAACCAAACTTGCCACAAAGTATCCTTGGGTGAAGGGGATTCAAGTTTATACAAATAAAGGGCCTCGCCCTCTTTCAAGGGAAGATAATTAGGAATTAGTGAAAAAATAATGGCATCATTTAAAAATCTTCTTCTCAAGAACCACTGGGCCAGGAAAGATGAAACTTATATGGAAACATCCTCAGGTAGTGTAGATTCAAGTTTGTTCAAATCATGACCCCCGGGGGTAGGGTGGGGCCACGATGGGGGATCAAAGTTTTACATAGAAATATATAGGAGAATATCTTTAAAAATCTTCTTCTTAAGAACAGCAAAGCCATGATTGGTCATATTTATATGGAAGCATCCTCAGGTAGTGTAGATTCAAGTTTGTTCAAATCATGACCCCCAGGGGTAGGGTGGGGCCACGATGGGGGATCAAAGTTTTACATAGAAATATGTAGGAGAATATCTTTAAAAATCTTCTTCTTAAGAACAGTAAAGCCATGATTGATCATATTTATATGGAAGCATCCTCAGGTAGTGTAGATTCAAGTTTGTTCAAATCATGACCCCCAGGGGTAGGGTGGGGCCACGATGGGGGATCAAAGTTTTACATAGAAATATATAGGAGAATATCTTTAAAAATCTTCTTCTTAAGAACAGTAAAGCCATGATTGATCATATTTATATGGAAGCATCCTCAGGTAGTGTAGATTCAAGTTTGTTCAAATCATGTCCCTTGGGGATAGGGTGGGGCCACGATGGGGGATCAAAGTTTTACATAGAAATATATAGGAGAATATCTTTAAAAATCTTCTTCTTAAGAACAGTAAAGCCATGATTGATCATATTTATATGGAAGCATCCTCAGGTAGTGTAGATTCAAGTTTGTTCAAATCATGTCCCCTGGGGATAGGGTGGGGCCACGATGGGGGATCAAAGTTTTACATAGAAATATATAGGAAAATATCTTTAAAAATCTTCTTCTTAAGAACAGCAAAGCCATGGTTGGTCATATTTATATTGAAGCATCCTCAGGTAGTGTAGATTCAAGTTTGTTCAAATCATGTCCCCTGGGGATAGGGTGGGGCCACGATGGGGGATCAAAGTTTTACATAGAAATATATAGGAAAATATCTTTAAAAATCTTCTTCTTAAGAACAGCAAAGCCATGGTTGGTCATATTTATATTGAAGCATCCTCAGGTAGTGTAGATTCAAGTTTGTTCAAATCATGTCCCCTGGGGATAGGGTGGGGCCACGATGGGGGATCAAAGTTTTACATAGAAATATATAGGAAAATATCTTTAAAAATCTTCTTCTTAAGAACAGCAAAGCCATGATTGGTCATATTTATATGGAAGCATCCTCAGGTAGTGTAGATTCAAGTTTGTTCAAATCATGACCCCCAGGGGTAGGGTGGGGCCACGATGGGGGATCAAAGTTTTACAAAGAAATATATAGGAGAATATCTTTAAAAATCTTCTTCTCAAGAACAGCAAAGCCATGATTAGTCATATTTATATGGAAGCATCCTCAGGTAGTGTAGATTCAAATTTTTTCAAATCATGACCCCTGGGGGTATGGTCGGGCCACAATGGGGGATCAAAGTTTTACAAAGAAATATATAGGAAAATATCTTTAAAAATCTTCTTCTCAAGATCAGCAAAGCCATGATTGGTCATATTTATATGAAAGCATCCTCAGGTAGTGTTGATTCAAGTTTCTTGAAATCATGACCCCCAGGGGGTAGGGTGGGGTCACAATGGGTGATCAAAGTTTACAGAGGAATATATAGGAAAAAATAATTTTCTCAAGAACAGAAAAGCTATGATTAGTCAAATTGATTATTGATATGGAGTCATCCTTGGGTAGTGTAGAATGAAATTTGTTCAAATGAGGGTCCACGGGGGTAGGGTGGGGGCCACAATGGGGGATCAAATTTTTACAAATGAAAATATGAGAAAAAATCTGCTTTTAAAATTCACCCCCCCCCCCCCCCCCCCCGGTAAACTGTTCAATACTGAACTGATTTTTGCTTTTTTTTTCCCAGCCAATATGCTCAGGTGAGCGATGTGGCCCATGGGCCTCTTGTTAATGATCTCTTTGATTTTTAGCTCACTTCAGCTGAATGCTGAGCTGAATGTAGCATCGTTTTTGAAAAGGGGGGGGGGGGGGCAACCAGAGAAAAAAATTTCAACTTACCTGCTTTCCTGATCACTTGTTGTCCGTCTTTAAACTTTTTACATTTTTCAACTACTTCTCAAGAACCACTGGGCCAATGTTAATTGAAGTTACCAGTACAAAGCATCCCAAGGTAAAGGGGATTCTAAATTATTGAAATGAAGGGCAAGCTTCCTTCCAAGGGGAGATAATCAAAAAGACAAAAATAGGGTGGGGTCATTAAAAAATCTTGTCAAGATCCACTGGGCCAGAAAAGCTGAAACTTATGTGGAAGCTTCTGAGGTGTTGTAAATTGTTCAAATAGTGTCCTTGGGGGGGGGGGGGGGGGGGTAGAGGGGCCACAATAGGAAATCAAAGTTTTATATTGATATATATTGGAAAAATTTTCCTCTCGAGAACCACTGGACCAGAAAAGCTGAAACTTATGTGGGAAGCTTCCTTAGATAGTATAGATTGTAAATTGTTCGTATCACAACCCGTGGGTTTAGGGGGTATGGATAGGGAATATCAACCAATCACATTAAGCCTTTTATATTATCCGTCTTCTTTAATTTGATTCCTGCTTTTCAATGAGAGAAGCAAGTCTAAAGATTTCGAATGAAATTTTTCAGGGGTCCAACGGCAACGTGTTGACTATGGACCCCTGACGTTGTGAGGATGATGGCCACTGGGGATACGATGGGGCCACAATAGGGAATCAATGTATTACATTGAAATAGATAGGTAAAATCTTTAAAAATCTTCTCAAGAACCACTGGACCAGAAAAGCTGAAAGTTATGTGGAAGCTTCATGAGGTAGTGTTCAAATCATATCCCCTGGGAATAGGTTGGGGCCACAATAAGGAATCAAAGCATTACATTTGAATATATAGGAAAAATCTTCTCAAGAACCACTGGACCAGAAAATTGAAACTTATGTGGAAGCTTCCTGAGGTAGTGTAGACTGTAACTTGTTCAAATCATATCCCCTGGGGTAGGGTGGTCCCGCAGTAGGGTATCAAAGTGTAACATTGATATATATATAGGGACAGTCTTCTCAAGAACCACTGGACCAGAAAAGGTGAAATTTAAGTGAAAGCTTCCTGAGGCGGTGTAGATTGTAAATTGTTCAGATCATGGTCCCAGGGGTAGGATGGGGCCACAATCGGGAATTAAAATTTTTACATATAAAAAAAATCATCTCCAGAACTGCCAGACCAGAAAAGCTGAAAATTATGTGGAAGCTTCTTGAGATAGTGTAGAATGTTAATTGTTTAGATCACGGTTCCAGTGGGTAGGGTAGGGCCATAAGAGGGATTACATAGGTAAAAATCTTTTAAACTCCTCTACTCAAAACAGCAAAGCTATGATGAATCATATTAATGTGGAAGCATCCTCTCACTCTGTAGATTCATGTTTGTTCATTCTACGGCCCCTGTATATAGGATGGGGCCACAAAAGACGATCAAAATTTTACAAAGGAATACATGTATTTTGGGAAAAAAAATCTGTTGCAGAACAACAGGACCAAAGTGACTCAGGTGAGCGGTGTGACACATGGCCACTTGTTTCTCCATTTTTAGCTCTACTGGTCAGAGACCAGAAGAGCTTATGCGATTAGTAAGGTGTCCGTCGTCCGTCCGTCTGTCAATTTTTTCAAGATGCTACTTCTAAAGTTTTGGTCTGATCTCAATATAACTTGGCAAGCAAGTAGAATACACTAAGATACTAAATGATTTCAATATAACGACACACAACTAGATTACAATGAGATATATGATTCTGTATGTCGTTATTTTGATATTAGTGAAGTGATGCCATGGTGACATGTACTAAAATTGAAATTTCTGTGAAATACTTTTAAAACACCACTCCCCCTACAGTTTTGGTCTGATTTTGATATAACTTGACATGCAATAGACTTCACTAAGAAACATAATTGCCTTTATCATTTTTTTTTATGAATGACGTTGCCATGGTTACTAAAAATAGAATTTTCTGAACTTTTTTTTTTCAAAAGACTACTCCTCTTACAGTTCTAGTCTGATTGCAATAAATCTCTTGCCACAAAAAGAGAGTAAATCATGGATCATTCTACTA